TCCCAGTTTAATCCTAAATTAGATAATCTCCTTAGGATGCCCCAGATCAATCCCCAAAACAACAAAACATTTCCCACTATTTTGTCCTGGAAGTCAGGAACTAACCGATTGACACATCAAAACTGACAACCACACGATTCCACAGGAAACGGTGGCACTTTTGCCAACAGATGTCAGTGTCTCTGTCCTGGATCTCTAATGGAGCATTCATTTTTAAAAGATTAAACAATGGAAACACTCTGCAATTCTTAACCCCCCCGCATGTCGTCAAGTTTATTTTCTGCTGGATTACAGATGACTTAATCAGGAAAGATGAAAGCTATGAATAGCTAAAGAACGGTGCTTTAAAATGCTTAACATGTAACGAGTACCTTGAGCTTATTACATCATCTCATCTTCCACAAAAAATATTTTGCTGGTTAAAGTGCATTTCCTTGAATTAAATGATGTCATAGAAACTAAATCCAAGCTCAAACCATAGAGATGCAGTTTCTGGGGGAAAAACAAATCAAAAACAAAAATGACTTTATGTGACCCTATGTTTATGTGAAGGAGAATCCCTGAATGTAAGATTGTAGAAGAGCAACCCATATGGGTAATTTAACTAGCTTAAACTTCATTTAATGCAAAATAACTCATTTCACGGATGAGCAGTAATCAAACAGAATAAATGAAGTATAGCTACCGGTGGCACTTCACAATTAATTCTTTTTAGTGTACTTTTAATAACTTTCTTCTAATCTAGACATAAAAGTTAAGATGATACATCGCTCGCATTTTCTATAGGTTTTATGGAAGAAGAAAATTCTTGATTACTGAAAACTACAACATTAAGGACTTCATTCCACTTCACCAACAGAGTTTTACACATAACACTGTTTTGTGTGACTCAGCATTCGAAACGTTTAGATTTGAAGTTGACTATAGGTAGCCTGATATTGGATATTTAGAATTTTAACATTTAACTTGGGCAGGATTATATTTTATGTCAGTATTAAAGCCCCAGATTCAGAACTTTTGTCTGTGACATTTTACTAATGTATAATGTCCTAAACTACCAAACATCCAGGATATCTACTCAGCTAGATGTCTTAAAAAGGCCAGGTCCATTCTCAAGAACCCCAGTCACAAACTGTTTTCCCTCCTACCGTCTGGTAAACAGTACTGAAGCATTCGGTCCAAGTCCAGCAGACTACAGAACGGCTTCTACCTCCAGGCAATAAGACTGCTAAATAGCCAACCTGCAGCTCCTTAGCAAATCACCCATAATGGCTACATGGACACACAGTTTTCACTGTATTCAGCATAACAGCACTACTTGTATATATTGCATATACCATGGACACATAGCAGCTCTACTCATATTGAGTTTTATTCAATTTCTATTACATTATTATCAGTTATTAGGTAACCTTATTTTCATAACCTTAATTTTGTGATTTTTGTGATTCTTGCGATTCTTGTTTTTTGTGAGTTCGCAGAAAAAGACATTTCATTGCCAGCAACTACCGCTGCACACTGTATTGTTATGCATTTGATAAAAAAAACTTTGATTTGATTTGATTAATAATGACCGTCCATGAGAATAACGCGCTAGAAGAAAGAACCACATTCCACAAACTTATTGATAGTGGAACCAACTGCTTTCCTGCAGCTGATTCCTTCCTTTGATTTCAAATCTGTACAGGTTACTACTCAGCGAGAGACACGTAAATTTCCATTAGCTGTGACAGGTCTCCTCACTTAGCCAAACACAGCCTTTTGCATACAGTCCAATTCCTGCCTTCATAAACATATTCGGATGGGTGTAAAACTAAAACTAGTCATGTCATAGCCTCTGAAAGTAAAAAGAAAAACAGAGGTTTCAATAACTCAAATTCAGGATGTACTAGAACCACACATTGCTTCTTTTCTATGTGAACAAGAAATATACATTTGTTTGTTTAAATGCAACATGGGCCCTTTCTGATGTGGGCCGATTCAAATCCTAGGAACATAAAGCAAACATCCCAGCAAAAACATAAAGCACTCCATTTAGAAACACCCAGTAGAGGACCGCAGTATTAAACTGGTTATTCCAGTTGATAAGGACACAGTCTAACAACTGATCTTTTATTTTTTATATATTCGTGTATACTATTCTACGAGATGCAGCTCGTCAAGACAGTATCTGCATGTTGGAGACCGAAAAAAGTAGACTTGCAGATTCTGATTAATAGCTCTAGACTTTTCACAACCGGAATGTGTGAAACTAATGGGAAGAGTTCACAACTATACTTATGAAAGAGCTACTGGTCGGATTAAGATTTTGTCCCTTTTACACAGAGTTGTGGAAATTGCAGGATAAATTAGGGAAGAGAGAATAATAAATACTTAAATTTACATGGTGTTTTTCATCTCGAAGGATGCCCAAACTCCTTGTATACAGGAGAAGAGGGGACCCACGTCAACCACCAGTGAGGTACTGCGCTCACTGGCGTCGCTCAGTACCCCAGCAGCCCCAGTCCATGGCAGAGGAGTGAGAAACTGCTGCATCTATCAAAACGCGACAGGTGAGGTTATTCAGTCTGACTAGCACTGCTCGCACACTCGAAATCTTTCCATTTCAGAGCTGCAGCTGTCGCAAACGGCACCTGGAAAACGAAACGCGCCAGGAACACGGAGACCCGGCCGCGCGGCGTGTATTCGTCGGCCCTGTCCCGCCCGGAGTCCCAGTGGGCCGCAGTGAAGGCCCCCCGAGGAGCACCTCGAGTTGCCACTCGAGACCGCTCATCAGGCCCTTCCTCGCCAGCGCCAGGGCCAAGCACACTTTCACATCTGGATGGCACCACACACCAGAATATTACATCCTTTGTTCTCTGGCCATGATTTTCATTTACAGTCCGCCTTTGAAGTCTCGCCACCAGGGAGTCAACAACAGCTGAGGAACATGTGTCAGAGCGCAACACTATCACACAGCTAGGGGGAGTGGGGGGGTGCTTCGCTAATCTTGAACATGAGTAGGTATTATAACTCTCTCTTTATTGATGCCCCCTCCTGCCACAGTAATATCCACAGAGATTAGCGGAGTTATTAATGCAGATGGGTTGGACTGTTTTTACTTCACATTACTTAAACAGAAATAAAGCGGTACAGCTGGTGCCAACCCCAATGCTATTACAGAAGTAAGATTTTTTTTTGTTAAGATGTCAATCAGCTCGTGCTGCACCTCACAATGAACCCTTTTAGAGCACCAGCCAAAAATTCACATCTGCACTGTTCGCACGTACAAAAAGGAGCAGGGGACAAAAAAAAAACATTGTTGATAAATTATTTGCTAAATAGATGCTCTTCCAGTGGTGTGCTACACTAATATCCCCCCCGTCTTGTTTTTCTGTATCCTATCAAACACAAAGAGAATGACACAATTGTTACTTAGTATTCTTCTGCAGGCTCAACACTAGTAGCAAAACGACCCTGTTTTCTTAAACAGTTCAGTTTAAATGACACCTTTTGTCATTAAACTACAACCTTTACTCCAAAACCACATATGAAGGGTTTATAATGTATTTCCAAACACTGGATTACAAACTGAAAAGGAAACCAAAGAGCAGATTTAATCACTTTAAACGTTTAACACGATAAGCCTAGGGTTCTTCTATAGCAAGTGTTCCCTTCTCATCTGTACTCTTGAATGAGCTACACGCATGAGGACTAAAAAAGGTGTGTCAATCGTCATATCCAATACTATTCCACTTCACGGCGTTCACGTTTTGTGCTCGTTTCTCAGCTTGCTTACCTTTGTGAAATACTAATGAAAGGTGACAAGACAAATGGCACTGATTACACCCAGTCACACAGTGTCCTCGGTGTGGCTGTGCTAATGCTCTTCTATCAAGGCTTGGGAGAACAATTCCTTCTGCTCAGCCGTTTTATATGCTGAGATTTCTTTGTTTTTGCCAAACCACAAAGGCTTAATGTTCGCAAATGAGTACAAGGTGGAAAAGATCTCAACACAGCGAGTCTGCTGAACTAGATTTGAACCAAGGCCACCGGAGCTAAAAAAAAACAACAACTCGATTTATCTGAAACAGCACCAGCACGTTGAAGTATTAAAAAGACTAGACCCGCCAACTTCAAGTACCCTAGTGCGGGATAGTTTTTACTTAAAAGCAATAAAACGCGCCGTGAAATTACTGCAGGGGTGCGGTGGTATATTCCTTTACTTCAAATAGAAAAGGAGTCATAAGGGGGAAAATCATTTTTATTACTACTCGCTAGTTTTATTTTGCTACCTATTTAATTTTCCCCCAAACCCTACTGCTATCGTCTTCGGTTGATCGCTTGCTGGCAGTATGCAGTGTATTATGAGATACGGATTGCTCCTGTTGACAACACACGGCGCAGCGACAGGTAATTCACCCAGAATTGCAAAAACTACCTCTAAATCAGGCGGTGTTAACTGGATTTCACAAGCACTCCGAACGGTCAGTTAGAAAACCAGTTATGCCAACCAGCCCAAAGAATATCGTTAAGGGGTTAATAAGGTTTGTTTCGGGCTCATGTAAAATATCGAGAAATCAATTAAAACAAATGTTATTAAGTCATACTTGTGCAGACACAATAAAGAGCCCTGAAACGAGCAATGAACTACAGAGTGGAATTAAACACGATGAAAAAAATCATTACACAGCACTGGCGACAGCGTAAACAAAGTTGGAAGTCTAATTGCAACACAACTCCGAGTTCAGTCCGATCAGGAAAGTAAACCAGAGAGGGGAGAAAAAAAATCTAATAATTTACAGGACTATGAAAACACTTCATCTTACTAAAACTTGAGTGAATGTACCTTTCTCGTTGATCCAACATAGCAAATACCGGGGAAATACAAGTAGCGCAGACAACACGTTATACCCTTAACTATTTTAACAAATAGTTTCCGTGGAACTACTTCAACATGGATTTAATAAAATAATCGTAATGGAACAACCAAACAAACAACGGAAAACAACCCCTCTTACCTTCCTCCGGTCGTTCTGAAGAAGAATAAATCTTTCACTCGGTGTAGTTAAACTTGCTTTCTGGCTGGGCTGGAGTGAAGTGCAAGAGATTTCGCTTTTGGCATGAAATCTGCAAGTCTTACATACTTCTTCACCGCACCACCCCAAGAGCAGGGGAGCAGGGGGGGGGGTGGGGGGGATGACAACCCCAGTGCAACAAAGCCAGGAGTACGCTAAAGCCAAGGAAAATAAACTGAACCCAGTCGACGAAGTCCGGCTCTTGAGATGCTGTCTGGCGAAGTCGCTCCCAGTAGGCGAACAGCCCTGCCCGTGCGCTGCTGCGGACGCCGCGACTCGCCCGGGCTCCGCTCCTGCTGTAAATACATTGTAACGGAACTGGGACAGCGCGGTGCATGGTGGGACATTTTAAAGCCGCACCAGTCTCCCAATCCACGCCGCTTTCAAGACTTTCTTCTCCGGGCGAAGAAAGTATCCCCGTGTGGCTGTCCGTCAAAATCCCCCCGAATGATGTGCATTAACGCCTTATATACAATTATGCAAGTGTAGGGGCGTTGAAATGTTCCCCCCCGGTATTGCGATCGTACTTCGTTGGGACGAAATCTTGTTTCTTGGAGATGCTTTCTTAGAAGTCTGATATGCTATTGTTGATAGGCTCTGTTTAATATAATGACGTGCAGGAAATATATATATATATCGTTCTTGAGCGTGGTTGCAGAAAGGCTGTTTGTTGATGACTCGTGACTGCCCAAACTATCCTGGAAACAGCAGAGGTGGAACTCGCGGTGCTCCCAATCTTTCTGTCGGGGGGCTGTGGTGATCGCAAAGGGAATTTGTTCTTTTGATCGTTGAAATCAAAACGGTAAATAACTATACTGTACTATATATAACTCTTGATCTTTTGGCCAAGAGTGGTGGAGGAATATCGGTTCTGACCAGAATCGCGTTGCTTATCCACTGGATGTAGTAAATCGAGGTATTGATTTTCACATTATACTATGCATTGCGTTTCTATAGGGGGTATCAAGGCTCATTTAGGAGTGGACCCACTTCATCCACTGTTCAGTGCATCAGAACTGCACTGCACAACAAAGCAGACGTAGAAGTGAAAAACTACTCCACCAGTTGATATAGGGGAAGTTGTTTAGGCAGGCCAGTTTGCTCAAGCCCGTTGCAGAAATGAGCAGGAACACAGAGGGTAACACCTCCACTCATAGGAATACTACCATTGCATAGTCATGTCTAGGAATGACACCTTTTATCAGAGTGCATCAGTAAGTAGACCTAAACTATTTGTGGACTAGGTATTTATGATCACTGATAAGCATTCCTGACAAAATATGAATGGGCTTTCATTCATTAGAACGCAGCAAAACGAACAAATTCAATAACTGTATTTAGGAATAAATGGAAACACCAGAGCAAATTCAAATCAAAATAAGGGAATAAGAAAGGGAAATCCATGACAACATGACATCTGGACGCAGCTCTGCACCATATAAGAGCATAGATGGAAAAAATGAAAATGCTCAGAACCATGTGCAGTACAACTTGTTTCTTTGAAGGATACATCAAATCTGGTCGCCTTGGACTATTATTATTTTTGAATTTTGAATTTCGCATTTTGAATGTTCATTTTAGGAGTACTACACGATTCACAGATGAATAATTTCTAATATCTTCCAATTATTCTTAGTTTTTTTTCCCGTTGCTTTTTGTGGAGTGTTAAGGCTACGTTGCTGTGTACGGGGAAAGTGAAGGTTGTAACAGTATGTTTGCCAATTAGAACATTCAGATTTCTCCATAGAAAGTACCAGAAGAATATTAGCAGGTAACCTGCACTGCTGCCAGTTGTGTTAAGAACAGAGCACAGAAGTGCTCAGAGCATTTGGCTTTTTCCTTGCTGTGCTTATCTTCTGCTGCTTTCCTTTTCCTTAAAATAAAGCATTTTGTGCACCATAAAAAAACAGGCAGGAACAACCCAGAACACCTTATCATAAAACAGGGGAAGGAAGTCTGAATTGTCTTCTGTTCTTCAACTGTCAGTGTCCGAGAATGCTAAATCTGTGTCTGCCGTTTTGTCTGAGAAGTGAGGTGTGGGGTGGGAGGCTTCAGTGAGTGAAGTCCCCGCCTCTCTGTGTTAAGTGTTCATTAGGACTGGCTGTGCAGCCATCCCTGGCAACCACAAACAAACCCAGGCAAAGTGACAAGTGGCAGCAATACAAGAGCTGAATAAAGACGTGATTAGATTGGCAAAATTATTTCAAAAGGGGAGCAAAAAAGAGAAGAACATCTCTCAGAGGTGGCAAACGCCAGTCAAAATACGGTTGGGTAAGTTAGAAGTTAATTAAGCATTCTGATTGTCAAAAAAGAGGAAAAAAGCTAAAGACTTAATCTTTCAGTGGTATGGTTACAACAGCACAGCATCAGGGCCTTGTTTTCGGTGGGTATTCGCCTGGAATATTCATATATAAAGTATAATTGAACAAAGGTTACAGTAACTTTCCACGATCAATACTGACATGTCAGAATACCGGTGTAAAGTGAACTTGCTTTCACTTTGCATCACCTCATACACTCAACTATGAAATTATTTCACTTTTGTGTGTTTTATTTAATTTTCCTTATCTTTTTACTTATCTGTAAAAAACATATAGCTTGTCACAAACTCTACTAAGCATGTGCTGAAGTATTCAGTCAAAGACGTGATTTAACCTGCACCTTAATAATACAGGAACTTGGCTTGTCATGTTAAATACATCACTGAAATGAGGCTGTGCGTCATTTGAGATAGAGCTTCTCCATCTCTAATAGGCAATACTTAAAGATGCAATGATTGCAATGCAATGCAGTTTATACATGTTATTTGATATTATGTGTTAGTGTGGACATGTCTTCAGTGTTGAGCAGAGCAGCAGTTGAGGGATACTTGTGAATTTACAACATCCTATATTGCCATGTTAATGGTTATTACATACGTGCATGTCAGATTTCAGAATGACTTCTATTAGAGACTCAGCAGAGATGAAGAATCACTCAATAGAGATTAAGAATCGCTTTCTTTTATTCATCTGACAAGGATACTATGTCTATTGACTCCCCTGCATTGAGGGAACTAACTGCAGCAAAAAAAGTGTTTCAAACAGAGCATTGTTTCATTACGTCTTGGTAATGGTGATGTGCAATCTCTGATGACTCAGGCAGATGGGCTTCTGTTAGTCATGAGCTGTTGGGAGCGACGTTTATTCATGGAATCTCCAGTGGTGCTTTATAAGTAAAATTTTTAAAAAAAGATGAGTTCATCTTCTCCTAACGTACAAAGAGGAGGCAATGGAGGACTGTGTTTTGTTTGTTTGGCAGGAGAATGCCTCGTGCAAAGTCTGGTGCGGAGGGAGTGGCTGTGGCACAAGAGACCGGCCCCCAGTGTGAGGAGACCCAGCTGCAGGAGCTCAGTCACCACTTTAGTGACCTGATGAGAGATGTGCAGTCTCTGAGAGATCAGCTGGCAGAGGTACATGCCTAGAAAGCTTTTGCAGATGAAGGCAAAATCAAAATTAGAGCACTTCCACAGAATTATTTATTTCCCACTAATGCAATTCAATAGCCAGCTTTCAAACATCCTGTATTCACTTCAGAAAATGTCAAATTTGCAAGCCGCGTGCGCTCGGGAGAAAGGTTATCTATCCTCAGAAATAACAAAAATAACAACCACAGCAAAGAAAAACTAATCTACCTGCAGAAATGTTTTTTTCCCAAAGAAACTTTCCTTCCTGATTTTATAAAAAATCTGACTTTTCAGGTCCTAGCCGAGGTTTTCTATCTACGGTTACAGTATTATCATTCTTGTTCATAACAAAATTATCATGGATTTGTGCCACTTCTTGATATCTGGCTCAATAATGTAAATAAAAATTTGAGATACTTGATGTAAACGTTTAATGGCTGGTAGCATTAAATAATAATTCAGTGAACATATAGAGAGAATGTCAGATCCCAGTTTGCTTTACCTACATCACCCACCAGTGAACGAGAGCACCCGGGTGGGTGGGTGAGTGACACACTGTTGCTTTCTGCACTAGTGGCCTCACTCCACTGAAGAGTGTATGAAGATAAAGAAGTGAAAAATTAGTTTGTTGACTTAGTTAAGGGGAACCTTTATCTGGGCCAGGAGTGGTGTTTAGCCAGGAAACCAGGTTAACAACCCTGGTTTTCTGAACTGTTCCCTGGGAGCTTTTCAGATAAAAACGACCTCAATGCCTTATTCGAAAGACAGCAGCAGGGGTGTCCACTGACATCATAATGGGGCATAAGTTTGGAAATTCTTGGTCAAGAGGGAAGAGTGCCACCTACTGGTCTACCAGCAACCCAGGCACAGTCTTGATGTGCCTTGAGGACTGATGAGTTCTGATCGTGTTGCTTCATCCAAGCTCTTCTCTGTCCATCTGTGGGCGGTGCAGTGGCTCTGTGGCTAAGGATCTGCGCCTGTGGCTGGAAGGTTGCCGGTTCAAATCCTGCGGCCAGCAGAAGAATCCTACTCCGTTGGGCCCCTGAGCAAGGCCCTTAACCCCAACTGCTCCAGGGGTGCTATATAAATGGCTGACCCTGTGCTCTGAACCCCACGCTTCTCTCCCTGTCTGTGTGTCTCATGGAGAGCAAGCTGGGGTCAGTGAAAAGACAAATTCCTAATGCAGGGAATTGTATATGCCTAATAAAGTGCTCTTATCTATCTTCATTGTACTATAGCAGTAATACTTCACCACTATCCAAGAGCTGAGAAGATCAGGCTGAAGGGAGATGATGCTGATTTCATGTATGTAGTTTGCCTTGTAGATGGCCAGTTTCTCTTAATATTCCCCAAGTAAAAGAACCAATGAAGGATGAAATTCAGAACAGCCCAACATTGTATTTCTTTCAGGTATTATGCAATGACATACTGACTACACAATAACAATAGTGCATTCACTCGAAGATTGCTGTCCAGATTATGGATAATGGATAAGATTCTCAACTGTGTGATTATGTTCATGTCTAATCCTTATAAACAACGAAGCAATTCAAAATGCTAAAGTAATCATAAGTCCAGGGCGACCAGATTTGTATGTGGTTTAAAACAATAGTTTACCATTCTGCACCCAGGGCAGAATGATTCGTACTTAATCCACAGACCAGATTTATTAAAGTGGCTGGTATCTGATGAAACCAGGGCTGGAGTCCAGGAAAGAGTGAGTGAGCAGGGTTGTTGAACTGTAACCTGGTCTGCCTTCAGACTCAGTACCGCACATGTGGTACATCTGGACAAGAGCTTTATCGACAGATAGGTTTGTCTTTGCGAATCTGCTTTGTTCTCAAAAATAAACTTTCATACTCATTTATGTCACTCAGATGCATGTATTCGCTGACTGCCCACAGAGGTAGCAACATGTAAGAGTACTTAAAATCCCCAAGGCTGGACAGCAGATGTCTGCTTGACAGGCATTTATTCTGAGACAAATTGAAAACCTGCTCGGAATTCATAGTCCTCTTTAAGACAACAGCAAGCTGGGATAGTATCGTGCGGATCATTTATGCAATTCAATAATAATCTGTTCCCTGTGGTACACTTGAGAGAGTTCTTTTCCAGAATAATACACGCTGACGTCAAATTGAATAGAAAACCATCCTTTCCAATAATTATGCGAAAAAAGTTTCCCCTCATGTCCACCCATTGCAAGGGCATTGAACTATAATTTACAAGATACCAGTATTTTATTTGGTGCAGGATTGGAGAAAGAGTTTGTAATAACATTATTATACAGTATAAACTGTGACAATTAATTAGGCTGTCCATGATCAAATGCTTAAGCTTTAATTAAGTCTTCCAGCCAAAAGGATTAGCTTTTGAATTTTAAGTATGCATTTTCATTCATCTTGTCATGTATTACATACTCTTATAAAAGAATATACAAACTGCAGAATGTTTCTAAATACACGTCTGATGTGAAGGCGGAATCTAGGATGACATGGAACGAATGGTATTCAGCAAACTCTTTAATTACTGTTTCACGTCCTATAATTTGATTTTGGAGAATTTCAATCCCCACAAATGTGGGGATAAATAGGGCTTCCTACTGTGTATCCTCTATCCCTAAGTAATATTACCACATTCTTACATATTGCAAATTACCTCCTTGGCACTATTAACTGGACATTTCTTAAATATCCACGCCCAACTTATTCTATAAAATATTCAGTACATTTGTTGTTAAATAATAATTCATAATATGTTTATATGTTAATGATTACAGTCTGTGATTGAAACTTTTGTTTTTCTAATTAAAGGTAAAATTATCTATTGCTTTCTAATTAATATACTAACCTAGTTATTATTAAATTACTTTGTCATTAAGGTTAAATAAGAAAGACAATGGCAACAATTATGAATTTCATTTTTTTAAATCAATGATAATGCAGTTTGAATTTGTTTTTGCACAAGTGTTATTGGGACATTTGTTATAAGTAATCTTTAGTTTAAACTACAGTAAAACCAAAAAGCTTTAGATTAGAATTTTATAATTTAGTGGAGAGAATCCTATTCACACTGCTGTTCAAACATCTCTGACTTTTTGCATGTCCACTACTCTTTTCAGTGTTTTTCTTTCTTTGTCTAGATGCTGTATATTCCATGGCAACAGCATAGAATAATTCAATTGCGATCTTTCCCTGAAGTAGATCTATATGTAGCAGCATAAAAATCAGTTTTATGGTCGTGCAGAGAGGAAACGTGATGTTAATGGCAAGGAACTCCTGATAATAAGCTAATTAGATCTGATATTAAATGTTGTATACAACACTTCAAATGGCCTGTTCATGCACAGTGTAACTGAAGCTGCTGCGACAGAGTTTGTGAAGATGCTGATCAATGTGAATTAAAGGTTGCTGATAAGCTTGGTTTCTTCTCGCCCAGATTAATCTGGATGAATCGAAGTCCAAATTGTTCTACAAGTAGAAAATACTAGTGGATGTTCTTAGTAAACTGTTGGTGCTAAAAACATACATTATAACATCTGATTGTGTCTTGTCTCAGTAAAGTGGCAAAACTAAGGTCTTGGTCACCACTAGTTATCCAAGAAACTTGCCGTTCTGAACCCATACTGTGAAATATTGGTTACCATCTGTTCTGTGATGGAAGAAGGGAGCTTGATCATGAGTTGCAACTGTGTATTTCTTTCTATTAACATAATAATATTTTACAATATTCAAAAACACACAGCCTTATCTTACCATATTTTGCATCTTTTAGTCACATTACAAATGTATTATTTGTTGTTTTCCGAGGAAAAGGAAATCACATATGTTTTTCTATTACATTTGATGTATTTATGTACAGTATATCGGTATATAATAAGGCACACAAGAGCAGTTTCTCTCCTTCAAGGTTGGGAGGGAGCTGGAGCCTATCTCTGCAAGCAGTGGGTACAGGGTACAAGCCAGCCAATCACAGGGCATACACAGACACACGCCCACTGGCCTAACACATTTTGCCCGGAAGCTAATTAACCTACCAGTATGTTTTTTGACTATGGGGGGAAACCAGAGAATCCAGCAAAAACCCACGTGGACATGGTGAAAACATACAAACTCCACACAGACAGCATCCCAGCTCCAGCATTGAACACAGGGGTCGCAGAGCTGCAAGGCCACTGCTCCACTGTGTTGCTGGTGCTAGAAAATGATTTGAGTCTCATTGTCAGTATTCAGTAAGAGCATTTTATTGCCTATTGAGAAGAACATACGGACTGAGGAAAAGGCAATCGGAGGCCTTCTCGTCCACCTTAACATAATATAATGATCTTTGCCAATATCATCTGATAATATGTCCATCTTGCAAATTGCCCAGCCAAGCCATTGAGGTGGAAATTACCTGGAAATTGTTCAAAAAGTAGACTGGAATAAATCCTTGGATCGATAAGCCATTAGCCAGCAAGTCAGCAAGACAGTCCCAATGGCCTCCTGCTGTTTGTAACTTTCCCTACGGTCTTACGTTCTGCAAGAGCTGATCTGAGTTGACAAAATCCTCAAAGGCCCCGAGGACGTCGAGCCGCTGGACCTCCTCAGAACCAACAGTAAAACACAAAACTGAGGATAGAAAATGAAACAAAAGTTAAAATAGTTCAAATAAAAATGAAAACAGGGGGTGCTGCTTTACACAAGGGGTTGTGGGAGTCTGGAAAAAGTGCCAGGCCAGTTGTCACGACTCGTCCCTTCTCCCCTAAGCACCCTGGCATTCCCACGCGTACAGTACTAAACTCCACACATGCTCATCCAGGAACTAATTACCACGTCTCTCTCTCTTCAATACTTAAACACTCTTCTCCTTTCTCTTGTGTGCTCTAATACTCTCGACCTGACTCCTTGATTACTCCACCTGGTTCTCCTACTTTCGACTTCGCTCTTGCCTAACGATTCGGAGTATTGAATTTACTTTTGCTCGAACTCCCTCATGGCTTCGCACAGGGGTCCAACAACTCACCTCTTTCAGAAATCCTGACACCAGTACTTTGGCATCTCTCAAGATCATCAGCTCAATTAACTACTAGCAAACCAAAAGAGCTCTATGGGCTTTTTGCAGCATTTGTTATATTCTTATGTCATAATATAATATATTACAATGTTATCTAGGGCCCAGATACTGTACCTAATTCTTGAGAAATATCCTGTTTTAGGACCATATTCTGAGATTCCCACTTGTGAGGTGTTAGTGAGCTCCGGTAGTCAGCAAACCTCGGGTTTTAAGGAGGAGCCGTTCCACAGAGTTAGTAGAGGGGCAAGGTACTACAGCAGTTCAGTTGTGAAAAATCTCAGGCTGCTGGAGGTAGCACCTCACAGCAAAGACTGACGCATGTAATGTACCTTTTCTCTGTAAGTTTCCCATTTCCGCTTTGATTATGCAGTATCTGCCAATCTCTATCATAGCTGTTTCAGCACAAAAACGCATTGGGGAAAACAGGAAATTAAAGGCATCTCTTTACCTTGGAGGCAGCTGGAAGAGACTCTCAGTGGTAAAATGGTAGAGAAATAAAGCACAAAAAGAAAAAAAAAATCAAATTTAGACTATACTGTACCTCAAGGTAAATAGTGCCATCTGTTCATTGTGGAATGCAGCTTATGCATTATCTTGTGCTATCTCATTTATCTTTTGGCTGCATTCTTTATAAAATATTAGGGCTTCCCTAACACCTGGATATTGAAAATGTAAATGAAATGATTCTTTTCTGTTGTTAGTTTGGCCCCTGTCTTTTGCTAACTCAAATCCGGAGATTAGAGGAGAAGATTCTCGCCACCCAGAACATGTCCGTTGCACAGATCCAGTCTCTCCTTGGGAAGCTGCAGGTGCAAGACGTGGGAGCAGTGGAGAAGAGTGATGAAGTGGCTCTTGACTTCAAGCAGAGGTATGAAAACCCAGCGCTCAAGTTCCAGCTCCCTAGCCCTGGCTCAGTTTGTGCTGTAACATGTCCACCAGCGCTCAAGAAAATATCTTTTAAGCAGCTTTCAAAATTACTTGACTTTGAATTAGAAGGTAATCTTAGCATCTGCGCCTGTGGCTGGAAGGTTGCCGGTTCAAATCCCGCGGCCGGCAGTGGAATCAGTTGGGCTGCTGAGCAAGGCCCTGAACCCCAGCTGCTCCAGGGGTGCCGTATAAATGGCTGACACTGCACTCTGACCCCAAGCTTCTCTCCCTGTCTGTGTGCCTGTGTGTCTCATGGAGAGCAAGCTGGGGTATGTGAAAAGACAAATTCCTAATGCAAGAAGTTGTATATGGCTAATAAAGTGATCTTATCTTATCTTATAAGTGATATGATATGTTGTATGTGATCTTTCATTACAGAGATAGAATTCACTTCAGTTCTCTACCTTTTGGCTTGGAGTAGAAGTGTTGCTCACATTTGAATTTGATTCCTCTAACTATGGGCTAATCAGCCATTAAACTGAATTGACAACTTTGATCTAGTGCTAATGGAAGCAGCAGCACTGCAAGATATAAAAATCATTGGGCAGACATGCTTTGAATTAGTACCCTTTGACAATCAATTCAATGTCTTACTGCCTCTCCTATGCACTGTTTCCACTTAAGTTTCAGCTGAAATCCTTGATCTGAAAAGATGAGGTCTGGGGCAACTATCCACAGAATGATTTACAGTAGATCTATTTTGTTTAGGAGTTTTTTTTTGTATTAATGATGTGATGCATGTTTTTTATGTGCATTTCGATTTTAATACAAAAATGTGATAGTAAAAATAACGTGACGCATACTCAGTTCTCCAGCACTGTTCCCTCTAAGCTTTGCACGTGTGCGCACGCCCACAGGTTAGGAAATCAGCACACATAGGAAATTGAACTGCGCACAAAAAAAAAAAATTCCAAAAAAATGTTCATAATAAAATAAACACGGTCGTCAATTGAAAAATGCTAAATTGACCACATGAGACTGGCTGTGAGAGGCCCAACTTGGCTGTGTGCATTATTACTGATACTTGATAATCAATATCTATGCTCTCGTAGTCCCGTACCTCACTGCTCATGCTCACTCGACACTCAGTTTCTGTGACTGGGTTTCTGGAATCACTGTCCACGTCTTTTTTTATCTCTATGCTTCTATGAGAATGACTATATTAACAAAAAATAATTTCAGGCTGACAATTTTACATGCACTCAATTTACTGTGCGCAAGTTTTTCTGACGGGAAAAAATTCGCACAATTTGAAATTCTTGCGCACACAGGGCATTAAAAATTAGAGGGAACATTGTTCACAACGTGGTCATTCTCGGCCTAGTTGCGCAAAACATCTTGATGTATTGAATATGGCACTTGTGGTCCTTCCTTATGCTTTGTGTCTTGCAAGCAGACTGTGAAAGCATAAGAAAAGTCAGAGATGAAAGGAGTCTGTTTGATTTAGCTAATAAATCAGGGGATCTTATATAACCATTTAATGAAAGGAAACAGGGTGTCATCTATGATAATATGGTTGGCTGACTTTTTCCAGGTTCCCACAATCCTTTGTGTGAAGAAGTACCTTTGTTTTCAGGTCTAAATGCATTTCCCCATGGATTCCACTGGATTTTGTTTCTGTGATGATCGTCAAGAAGACCATTGGGTTGACTTTGTCAGTGATCTTGAGGATTCTGAATACTTTAATCACGCCTCATGCTGCACTGTAGATCAACACAATTAAAAAGAAGACAATAACCCAATTTCAAGACATATTTGTAGTTTGAGTTGCCTATGTTTACTAGCTTCAATAATGTGATAACATTGTGGTGCTTATTTGTATTTTCACCTGCTGTACATCGTTCTTGGCACAATGTCCAATTTCCACAATGGACATTTAAAATAAAATAAACACTTCGACCTTATATCATATTGACACAAACAGAACCTAGAACTAAAGAAATTGTAAGAGTGTGTATTGGAAATCTTCTCAGGCGTGAATTATGTGAAGACAGCATTGTGTTTGATTTTGCGCGCTCGTGTTTTTCCTGCTTCGCCCTCATCACTGTCCGCCTCTTCCTCCCTTGTCTGCACACAGAGTGAAAGAGCTGAACAGCCTCCTCTTCGCGAAGGAATTAGACATGAGGACTCTGCAGCTGCTGCTGGCTCAGAAGGACAAGGAGATTGAGATCAGGAATGCTTTGACTCACCCTTCAAGGACAGAGGTGGACAGAGAGGAATGTCTCTTGCTTCTGCAAGAGGCACAAGAGAGGTGAAGAGTGATTACATACACCACTTTTGTTTCTACGACTTAATCAAGATTTTAAAAAAAAGTTTTCATGGCTCTGATGGCAAACCGGATTAACGGGCTACATTAAAAAAATCTGAGGACTATACTCATCAGATTTTCTGAACTCATTTATCATTTACGTCTTAATTTATAATCCTTTGCATTTTACATGTGCCCATATGCATTACTGCAGAACCCTAAATACAGAATGTCTGATCTTTTTTAGTAAAAGAAATCTGCAAAGGCTTGAAGAACAAATTAAATATTTGCGCTTTTGTAGCTGTGGGTAGGAAGACTGGGGGTGTAAATCAGCACTTCTGTGGCACATTTACTTGGATGGGGAGATGGGTCTGGTGATTCATAGACTAATCAATAGCAGTTACCCTCTCCTTCAGCAATATCATTTTGTGTTCTAAAGCATTTTGCTCTTCGGAAATTTGAAATCGAAGGCAGAGATGGCATAATATGAAAGCCTCATCAAAATGGCATTGTGTTATGAAAAAGTTGCGGATAAACTTTCGATCCCTCACATTTAATTCAATGGGTTATTATATTTATATAGTTTATTTATTCCAATCATTCAGAGCAGCCCGCGTTTTAAAGCAAATTGACTTTCTAGCCATTCAAACTCATTTGTGCTTTATGATCCAGATGTTTAATGGAGATAATTTGTCACACACACAAAGGAAAATCTTTCATCCAGTTTGGGACTATAAAATAGCATACCGAATGTGTTTATGTGTGTTCTAATAAGTAATCGAAAATAAACTATGTGCGTGATAAGAAATGTTACTGCACTGGAGCTGCCTCATACGTGACCAGATTGCATAACTGCCCATGGCCTGTGAAAGCTGAGTGTTGGTATTAGGATATAAAACATATCAAAACTCCTGCTTTGAATAGTTACAGATGCTATGGCTGTTTATTTTTTTAAGTATTTACCAGAATGGAAGGATGATAATCACTGTTGCTAAAACAGAAACAATTAATTCTGCAATTAATAAAGAATGATTGCTCTGGCTTTATTGTCAGAGAGCACTGAACATCACAGGTCACATGTCACTCTGTTCTCCAATACAGAGTGGTTACAAAGTAATAACCAGTAACCATCAGGTAGCAAGCTTGAAAAGGACAACTATTTATTTCAATCAATTTCCAAACTGAAACACACAATGTCTATGACTGTTGTGCCCTGACATTTGCAAATCTGGGAGTACCAGGGTCCTGTGTATTACAGACATAGGAAAATAAAACTCTGTCCTGCAAAGTGAGGCGCAAATACCTTTTAGGGAAATAGGGAACAGCCATCCATTTTCTTCCAATTCAGGGTCGCTGGGGAGCTGGGGGCTATCTCAGCAGGCAGTGGGTGCAAGGCAGTGAGCACTGTGGACAGGATGCTAGTCTATCGCAGGGCAGACTAATAAGCTTATAATAAGCTCTATGATGTATTGAAAGCCCATGGGACTACCGAAACGTCAAAGAACATGATTCTTATGAATTACAGAGTCTACTCAGGGTAAAACAGATGCTAAGTGATTGAGAACCTCTTTTTTCCCCCATTTTTTTTTTTCCCTGGTGGATATCAGAAATAGGAAATCAGTATTTCCAAATAAATACACTGATCCGTGCAGGAATCCCAGAGTCAGTTCCTTCAAAGCTCATATTACCTGGCAGGTCTGTTACCTGGTCTATAAAGTACTGCAGGTGCCCTCTCATGGTGCTGTCTCTTCCCCTCTTCCTGTCTGCTCTCCTGTATTCTGTCCTTGTTTGTATTTGATCTTTTTATCCAGTCTTCTCTATTGATCTTTTAAGGCTTAATGGTTTAACTGTAATTGGTTTAGTCTTAGTGAAAGATTTTTACAGTTGTTCAGCTATGTTTGTCTCTTTCAAGGACAAGTTAAGAGCAGTGACAGCTATACAAACATTCCCAATGGCACCTATTGTCTTAGTTAAAGAATGGGGCACTGTGATGTGAAATGCAAACATTTTGACACCTCTGCTGTATAATAATTTTCCTAAATGTTGTGTTGTAAACAATGGCCTATTGTGTTGTAAACCAAAAGCAGGTCTTTGGTGCTGTATAGACACCCACTCCAAATACAGCTGTTACACCAGTCATTTCAGAGATCTACATGATTTCCAGTGATTTATGTGTCTGTGTCCAGCACCATCAAACCCAACACTGGGTCAAACCTTAAAGTAACCTCGAACGTTGGCAGTATTTAGCCCAATAACTATTCACTACAGTGCAACAACACATACAAGCTCCAATACTTTCTACTCACTCTTCATGTTTAAACAGTGTTAACATGTTACACCTCTCAGAACATTTTCTGAAAGCATATTGATTTACAGCAGGGTGGGGCTCCTCTGGGGCCCCTGGGCCGCTGTCCAGCAGGTTTTATAAAGTAATAGTAAAGTCTATATTATAGCACAGAGGCTAATCTGGCCAGAGTTCATCCTGGTTTCTGTAGCATTAAGTGGACTAGAGAGCAGATGACAGGTACAACAACACTGTCTGCAGCACGGATTTACAGGACATGAGTCCAGAGGCTAACCCCTACACCATGCCACCTAGCCCCCTTCCTAGAGCTCACGTCTCGAGCTTCTTAAGAACCAGGAAATGCTTCATCTTCTTCAATTGAGCACATATTGGGTTCAATTAAGTAATTAAGACCTCGGGGTACAAAAAGGACAGAATTCCTCACAACTGGAGTTGTGCCCACCTAATTTATAGCACAAATGTATTTTTAATGGTCTGTAACTATAATGTATCAGTCCAGGCTTTTACAAAACACATAAAACAAAGAAATTTGCAATCACAAACATTCTGCCTCTTTTGCTCCAAAACTCTTACAATACCCTTCATATCGCATTTCTATTAGAAAGACAGTCTAACAATGAAGTAAGGTCCTTCCCTACTGAGACATGAAGGGTCAACAGAATAATTGTACAACATTTCCATTACATTCAAGCGGTGAAGACATTTACTGTTAATAAATTATGTCTGAATTCTTCCTTGGATAGGCTCCGGCTCCCCCAGAATCCTGGATTGAATATAGCTTTCAGAAAATGGATGGGTGGAAGTATTTCCAAGTAATTCCAACCTAAATTTACAGTTCAGAAGCTCTGTTATGTCGTCTGGAAAAATATGAAATCTGAGTTAGATGAATTAATGAATCTTTTGTGTTTTCCGCACTCTCTAGAGTTCCTACAGTTGTGGATTCGAGTTGGCATCTGCATTGTAAATCATAGCAAAATAATGTAATTCTGGTGAACGGTGGCAATATTACTAAAATAAAATAAATACAACTAAATTAATGAAGAAAGAAAACTCAAATTCAAAAGAAAACAAAAAAAGCTTTTAAAAGTTTAAAATTGCTGGCAGGCATTAGCCCAAGACCCTACAGTTATCATTTGGTAAGTTAGTTGTTTATTCTTTTTAATAATTTGGCTTCTTCTTCTTCTGGGGAAACAGTAAATATACTCTTATGCTGTTGCTTCCCTCACCTCAGAGCTGTATATAGTCAGAGGCCCAGGGAAAAAAATCTCATTAGTATGTGAATTTGATTTATTTCTTTACACAGTAAACCTATTTGGAGAAGTTAATGTTTGCATGGGCAAAGCAAAATCCACTTCCCAAACAACATGCTTGCATCTAGAATGCTCTATTCAAACCCACCTTGACAATGTGCATTGAAACTCTTCTACTGCCATTCAGTCCTTTCACAATGGAGTGTTCAAAATGTGATGATTGCGTATTATGTAGACAGAATAGACCAAGCGGTGAACTCATTAACACTGAACAAGAAAGCAATGAAGTGTTTATTTATATAACATGAACGGTTCGTTTCACGGTCCTCTGAGGCAAATAAACAACATAGAGAGACTGTAAGCCTTTTTGGTACAGTATATGTTGTTTTTAAACAAATTTATAGCACAGCTCTTTTGAACGAACTTAACCCTGTATGATAAGAAATATTTCTAACAAATTTTTATTCTACAGTAAATTGGAAAAGTGTAATTTTTACAAAATTACAAAAAAGAGGTTTGTCAGTCCACCATAGACTCTTAACAAGTAGCATTATTTATGCATTTTTTAATTTTACAAAGGAGCGAAATATTCTTGTGTAGCGTTGGTTCAGCAGAGTGCCATGTCTTAATTTTAAAGCCTTAATAGTTCTTTCTCATTCACACCATGACTACACACCTTCAAATCCTAGGTGCTGGAAATGCAGATTGAATTTAAATTTTTTCTTATTTCTCTTGTTAAAAGCATTGTCCAGAATTCAAATGGATCTCAGTGATTAGCATGAAATGTTTTGAATGGTTCTCTGTTTCTCCTGACAACTTGGTGACATCACAACATGATGATTCTGTCTAATGGGCTATCTAATGAGCTGTATGCGACAGCCTACATTTCTCAAGTGTTGACTCAGGGCACTCAATTGTGCATAATAAATGTGCTCTTATCTGCATAGATTTTGCTGCTGAAGAGAAATAATCTTGCCCGACAAGCATAACCAATTGATATTCTTTAAAATACCTAATTGGTAACGCTAGATCTGATTCAGATCTGATTAATTAATTTGTATTATAAAACTGTGGTAGTTTTTAGCCACAAAAGTTCAGTTTAATTTCAAATTGATTGGATTTTGTACGTTTTTTTTGTTTTTGATTAGGTATAACCCCCCTAGTTTTTCCTGATTTCTTGACCAGTGGTGTTATTCAGTCTAAAAAGGCCGCCTACTCTATTGGCAATGCACTGTCTTGTAGCTGACCACAGCATTTTATACCAGTACATGTACTGAATGGGGTGCACAAACTGCTCTATGAATTGAAAAGAAATAATGTTGCTCCTGTGGGTGGCAAGGTGATACAGTGTTTGGCAGTGCTGTCTCACAGCACCGGAGCCCTGGATGAACCCTCTATCCATGGCCATTATCCATAAAGGGACAATGCTGCTATTGTAATCTGCAGAGGATATTTGTTGTTGTGAGAGAATCTTTGCTGGTATTCTGATTTGTCATCATATGAGCATTTACCACGATTGATGCCTAAACAATGTGTCTCAGTAATCAGTGGCTATTAGGTTAGAGCTTCTTGAAGGCACTTGAAAGTCTACACTGTTATACCTAAGTGATTGATTGAATGATTGATTGAGTGATTGATTGATTTTACTGACCTTTGGATTCTGGAATTAGCCTTATGAGCATCTCACCAGACAATACAATAGACAGAAAGAAGCTCTCCTCATAGCAGAAGCAGGCAAGACCTAAACTTATTTTCTCACCCCCAAAACAACAACTGCGGACAATCGCATGTGATGAAACCATGTGTGCACTTTAATGTTGGCGGTTTATACCATCTTATTAAAAAATGAGCTATTGAAAGAAATTGATAAATCCTTCTTATCGTCTATTATCAGGTGAGCAGCAAGACAGATCCAATTCTGGAGAACAGATTTGCAGGTGGTGGTATTAGTGGATTAGAAAACATTCACTGTTTATAAATTTAAGTATTTGCTTCTGTGTTTTCTAGGTATGAAGAAGAACATTATCGACGACTACAGCTGGAAGAAGACCTGCAGCACCTCAGACTCATACTAGAGGAGCAGAAAAGTCTTTCTCAGGTTAGCCTGAAGGTCGTTTCTTTCTCACATTATTCTGCTTACAATATCTTTTTAAATGCTCTGAATTATTTCACCATGTAACACTAAAATGCATTCACACATCAAGTGGCATCAGCAGAATAGAAATGTAATGTTTGCAATGAAGGCTTTATTCCAGTAGCCCAAATGGTACTGTGTGTCCCCACGCTGGTAATCCTTCTGACCTGACTGCTACTGTAGGTCATTTCTGTCTGTGAAACATTTTAAGAATGCTAAAACATGTATTAGATTAAAACATATTTGTTGTAAGTCTGGCACTGAAGATGTGACTTTTACATCAACATGGTGAGTATGCAAAAATGGCCAAAGAGCAGATGCCGACCCCAAGAAACAATTGGAGAAAGACTTACTGTATCTTGCTTTGCCTTTAGAAGTGTGCCTAGCTGCTAACAAGTGATTCTAATAACGTGGCATCCATCTCGGATATCTACCCCTTTAACAACTGACGTCTTTTTGTAAACTGGATGTTTCACAATGAATGTTTCAGATTTACAATGTTTTGGTTATACCTGACATTTATTTTTGTAATTTTACTGTTCTGTCATAAACATTGTATAATTGGACAATATTTATGACTAAAAAATGTCACCTGCAATGTGAGATAAATGAAAAAAAAACAGTTTATGATTCACTTATGATGTCGCTACTTTTATTAGAGCAATGAACCTTTCCCCGTGGTTAAAATACATAATGTACTGAGAAAATTCTAAATAACCCTAGTTCATGTTCTCCAACTATCAGCATTTCTTAGTAATAATTAAATAGTAGAAATAGTTGAAATTAGTACAGAAACTGTGCCAATGCTGGGTTTCAGCTCTCTTCTCAGTTAGATTTATGTTTCAGAGACTTGCTCATATTTTACCAACAACACTTAGAACGTTTATTATGAGAGTGGCTGACAACAAAAAGTGGTGTTTAGAAAGCTCTGGTGGAGCAAGTATTTCAAACTAAATCGAATCAGAGTCTCAACAACCTGAATTCATAAAACAGTTAAAAGCAGTCAACTGGTTTGATTAAGGCTTCAATAACTTTTATTGATAGAGATCGCAGTTGAAATTCTAGAAGACACAACTAGAAGACACGGGTGTACTGTAAGGAATCCCTGCCGGAGAGGTACTGTATGTGGATCTTGTACAGACGCAGGAGTTGGTAGTTGACAAGGCAGGCAAACAATCTAATACATTAGGCGAGTTCGTGGTCCAAAGGAAAGGGGTGTTTCAGAAACCAGGAAGTACGATAGAAGCGAACAATCCGAAGCAAGAGGCAAGGTTGTGGTCAAAAGGGGTAAGGTAGGTCAGAATCCGGGAGAACACGGGAGGCAAACAGTCCGAGACGAGAGGTGAGGTCCAAAGTGGAAAAGGCAGAAGGGGAGTCCAGAATCCAGAATATACGAGGTACGGGAAAAACGCCAGGTAGAGCTCTCAATGAGTAGGATCTTTGATCCTAGGTTGACTATTCAACCTCATGTGCAGAATATTGTAAACACTACATTTTTCTCTCCAAGAAACATTGCCAGCCTGCATTGTTGCGAAGCGTTTTTCAGGACCCTATGCAGACGGCAAAATCCAGAGGGGAGTGAGACAAACACAGGGAAAAAAGGACTAGGGGAAGAACAGGGGGGCATGTCCAAGGTGCGCTGGTGCTCGGGGGGGAGATGTCCAGTCAGACAAGTCTGAAGGGTGTTTGTAAGGAAATTGTCACGATCGCAAACCCCTCCTCTTAAGGGCGCTCCAGCCCTTCCTTGTTTGCCTCATTCCCCGCACCTGTTCCTTGTTCCAGCCCCTTTTCAGTTCCCCCTTAAAAGCCAGACGCTGATGGTAATCTGGACTCTGCATTGGTTTCCGCATCATGCGAGCCCGGGACCTGGATGCGCCTGGCTCCGTTATGCTTTTAAGTTTCTGTTCGTGTTCCCGTTCCCGTTCTCCCTGCCGGTCCCTACCCGGTTCTGGTTTTTAATCTTCTGTCTCGGATGGATCGCCTGGCCTTGGACTTATGCCCTGTTTTTGGATTTCTCTTTGGACTCAACCCTGGATTGTTTGCCTCGCTCACACCTCCCCCAACCACCAGCACTCCTTGGACACGCCCCCCTGTTTTTATTCCCGTATAGCGCATGCCTTTTTCCCCAGTGTTTCCTCACTGCCTGGCAGAAAACCATGTGAAGGCAAATGTCCAGAACCGGGTGGCCCATCCGTGACGAAGACAAACGAAATTAAAAGCCGGAGCGGGATCCAGCAAAGGGTCAGGGGAATAAAAAGGGGTAACAGGGCCAGGCGCTCCCAGCTCTGGACCCAGATGGTCAGGGCGCCGTTGCGAAGCCTATGCTGTCGAGCCCCTCCTGGACTCCTCCTAGGCAGGCTTCCAGGCGTCCATCTTTCAAGGCTGAGCCTGGACTGGTGGGAGCGTCTGGCTTTTAAAGGGGAGACCGGCTCTGGCTTCCCCCGACATCGTATGGTATAAAGCGGTTTGGCCAGTGACATGACATGATATTTATTATATACCCACTCAAATGTGGAAATCCAAAAGTTTGTATCTTTACATCTCAGCCCTACAGCAACAAGCCATGAACACACACTGGGAAAATGAGGAAGCAGTCATCCAACATGCCCACCCCTTTGAGCCATTTGTGAGACCACACACAAGTCTGGGAGATTGTAAAGAAGGCAGGGGTTTATCTTTACTTTAAAGATCAGATCTTCAGACTTCCAAAAGATAACCCATTGTGCGACTAAATCCACCTGATGGCGAGACAGGTTGTAGTGGCTTGGTGTATAGGAGGAAACACATCATTATGGACAGCTGTTTACAAAAGATAAGATTTCATCCAGTCAACAACTGCACATAGATATTTAAATGAAAATCAGGAGATTCTAGTTCCATGCAATCTTCAACTATGTTTAAAATTTTGTTTGTATTTAACTAACTTGCTGATTCAGAAAACTCTTAAATCTTTATTTTTTCTGGAAAGTGTTAGTCTGAGGATCACATTTCCTCTTTCCTCCACCTGGTATTATCACTAATGTTGATCCACTAATTTGTCTTCCTTCCTCATCCAGGACCACATTCTCTTAAATATCTCTAGAGTGGACTTTAAACAGTGTGAATTTTACATGGATAGTGTCACGATTGTAGTCCCTCCCCCTTAAGGGTGCTCTGGCTCGTTCACTTTTTAGTTGATTTTGTGCACCTGCTCCCTGTTCCAGCCTCCCTACAGAAGCCAGACGCTCACTCTGTTCTGGGCTCTGCATTGGTTTCCTGAACCAGCTGAGTTCGGGACCTGGAGCACATGGTTCCATTCCCCCTTTTTCCCCCCGACCCCTCGCCGGATCCCGGACTTTGTCTTGTTCATCTTGGATTGATCACCCGCCTCTGGACATTTGCCTGCACTGGACTTCCCTTTGGACTCCCTTTAGGACTGTTCGCCCTGGACCACGCCCCCTCCCTGTTCGTCCACCAGCCCAGTTCCTCGTCTCTTCCCTGTGTGTGTTCACTCCCTTCCGGACTGTGTGGTCTGCATAGGGTCCTGAAAGACGCTTCGGAACAGATTGTACAGTATGTCGTGTATTTATCTGAAAGGATGGCTTCATTTAAACTTAGAAAGTCTTCATAACATTCCCCTTAAAACACAGAACACAATTTTCCAGGACAAAACACAGGAAACTAACTTTACAGTATTTTATTTTTAAAGTTTTTTTGTGTTTTATTATAGCCTGTGTATATTTAAACACTCTAAAATTGACCAGTGGGTTAACTAATCTGGGAGTGACAGTTTAATCAAAAATATTAGTATTACTGGGTGGCACTGTGGCACAGCATTGCTGCCTCGCAGTGTTGGGGCACCGGCTTTAATTCCTGCGTGGAGTCTGTATGCTCCCCATGTTCACATGGGTGGTTTCCTCCCAAAGTCAGAAGACACGCTCCCGGGAAAATTGGCCCTGCTGTGAGCGTGTACATGTCTGGGACTGCCCAGCGATGGACTGGTGTCCTGTCCAGGGTGTACCCTGCCTCACACCTGTTGCTTTCTGGGATAGTCTCTGCCTTCCCTTGCAACTCTGGCTGGGACGAAGTGGTTTGATGATTAGTATTACTCAGTGTTTTAGTATTTTAGTGAGTGAGCATTACTCAGTAGGTTAGCATTACTCATAATATGTCATTCAAAATCCATTTTAAAAATTATTTTAGAAGATTAAACATCAGAAAGGAAAAAAAAATTCTTGCAAGAATTAAAAAAAAATGTTAGTTTCTTAAAAGAACATGTTAAAAATTAAGGAGGTGATAGACAGAGCACTAGTCAGGTACTTTTTTAGACTGTTAGCCGTGGTATATTAAGGCACAGCATACTGAAGGCCTTCGCTTAAGGTAAAAGGTGTGCTCATTTTTAAAATACTGTCTGTGGTGACAAGGTTATGCCTTTATATTATGTGAAAAGTCCGCATTACTCAGTATAATCTGCCATTAGAAGCTTGACTCTGTATATTAGCAGGCACTTTGAAGTTGTTTGTTGTTTTTCTCAGCTCCTTTATGATTTCTACCTTGCAGGAATGTCTTATTCTGTAGGGACAATGGTCATTGTTCTTACTATATCCTGTCCACTTCAGAGCTATGAGTCTGTCACCTAGGGAGTGTTGACTGTAGATAGTAAATATTTGCTCTTTGTGTTAAAAAAAAAACAATTTTTTGCTTGTTTACTTTGGTATAAAAATATATTTTTATTATTGCTGAAAATCTGTGCACTTGCGTAGTAAAATGCTATTACACTAGCTTCAAAAACTCCCTAACAATGGAACGCAGTCTAAAGGAAACCTGGTTGAATGGCAAGTTTTCAGTGAACAATGGTTTAACTGATTCACATGCAGCCCAGTGGCACAGCTATTGGAAAAGCGAGTGCATGTTAAGACTTACAAAACTCGTTTGCCATGTCTCTCCAGTATAGCTGGAACCTGCAGAGACATCAACATGAATCAAAACTGTGTTAAGATGTTTTTTTCTGGGATTAACAACAAACTACAAAAAAGGCCCTGGCACATTCAGAAAACTGGGTGTATCTCCTCTATTTTAGAATTTTATTTTGCATGAATACACTTACAGTGTGTCACTGGAGGGCGGTTTGCTTTATTAAGACACGTTTGCTTTGTGTTTAAGAGTCTGGAAGAAAATTACGGCCACTCTGCAATCAAATTTACAGTGGAAGGCATAAGATACAAACCATTGACTTCTGAAGGTTAAATTTAGACACTTGAGTCAGTGGTCATAAATTTCTCTGGAGTCTTATATGTTCATTCTCATTAGAAATACTATGAGTTACCACAGTGCCTCAGATTTAAGAGTGCTATTACTTCACTTGCAGTTATATTAATCCTGTTAGCATGCATTTTAGCTTTGGCCACTCAGAATGGAGAGAGCTTCAGGCAAGTACAGTAGTTTTTAAAGCACTTAGGGGTATGTCCAAAATGCAGGACACACCTTGCTAATATTTCAAACTTACACAAATACAAACTTTTTCACACTTTTATATCCTTAATCTAATGGTAGATATCTTTATACAGCTTTTTTTGTGTTTGTGACCTCGACTGAGTGGGTACGTGATGTGCATTGATGTGGTTGGATGATTGACGTTCACTTAATTCGATTAGAACCATTTTAAAATATTTCCTACATTATTTACCGCAAAGATTAATAAATCTTGTTATTTTAATTTTGAAGCAGTATCTGAATTGCTAAAAGCAATTACGAGTATCAACCCAGCCATTCTTATCGCCTGTCTTTTAAAAAGATTAACAGGTACAAAGATTAACAAAGAACAAAGGAAAAGATTAACAGGTCTTTACAAAAATTAACAGGTACAATATTTTTCAGTTAGAACACTTTAGATCTCTGTATATTTGCAAATCATTTTTGCTTTAATTTGGATAACAGACAATTTAAAAACCGTCACTTTAACACAGTACAAAAGCACAAAAGACTTACACTTACTTTTACTAAATGTATAAAAACAATTATAACGCCAAAGTAATGACGTTCTTTGGCTCAAGCATCTCAGCTGCCCAGTACAGACAGACAGGAAGAATTTCTCCGATATTTACTGCGTGCGAACTTGGAGGGCTACGAGAACTGCGAATTTCAAAGGGACAAGTGGAACTTAATACCTCTTTGAAAAGTAAAAAGGTGGATGCTGCACATTGGTGGTGGAGGAGGGGAGTCCCCATTACCCGTAGTGTCCAGAAAAGCGCTGTATAAGTGTAAGCAATTATTATAAATAATATTATTAAAAGACGTTTCAACTGTGGAGCCTATTCAGCTACATGACAGAGTCCACAGAAGAAACGTTGCTTTCATTTTCGCTATTTAGAGAGGAATTAGACCTCTGTTCATATGTATAGTTATGTGTATCTTACGTATATTGTATATGTAGTTTATTATTTTTAATGGTTAAGGTATTGTTTTAGACGTCTTTTTATCAACGTAAAATGAAAGCTGCAACGAGAGGTTGCCAATAAAAAAGTAGTCGTACAAAAACGGATTGCTCACCACGACATTGTTCTTAACAGACCATGATTTTTTTTCTACAAAAACGGCACTCTCAAAGACCTGCTTTGTGACACACATGAAAACAATTAAAGTTTTCTTGTAAAAACAAGACGCTCAAATGGTTTCCAGACACTGACAGATTTCCTGGGGATTTTATTTATTTTTGAACTTCATTCACATCTTTACAATTTCTTATTAACTAATCCGTCCGATGTTGTTTTCAAAGGGTTTGGTCAAATACATACCTTAGCTGGTGCAATATTATTCCTCAAATCTGCTGTAAATTCAGAGATTATTTTAGAATGAATAAATCCGGGATAAAACATACAATATCATTTTACCTCATCGGTGCTTTGAGTAGATGGCTGCGCTTGTGACAGTTTGAGAACATTTTTTCTTCAATGTTTTTGTTTGAAGCTGTTTCATTTTTGTCTTAAAATTAGATATACTGTAATAAGACAACCGTTTTAAAGGAAATTATATTATAAAGACATCACTTGGTATTTTATACGATTTCATTATTAAAATATTAATGGAACAAAGTTATTGTTGAAGAGAAGGATTTACAGTATGTGAGAGAATATAGTGACTTTTTTCAAAACATCCTATTCAGCAGGATGAGATAAGCACCATCAATAGAAATGATGTATCTTCAAACAAGCCTCAAGAGCATCCTGATGCATTGAATTATGTTAATATTGTAACGCAACGGGGGCTCAGGTGGGCGCCCTTGCCGCATTAGGTCGGCCCCCCATCGTCGTAGCTGTAGTCCTGCTATCACAGGGAAGGGCGGTGACGTCACCTGCTCTGGTACGCCGGCTCTTACACAGTACCTGTCGGCCGTAAGCGTTACAATATCAATTAGCACTTGCCTAATATTAGCTCTTTTCGGAGGCGGTATGTCGTAAGACTTCCAGTTCCGTTTTGCATATATTAACTCAAAACCATCATCCAAACATGTTCATGTTCACGTCATGTCATCACAGGTTATTTGGCTGTCAATCTGTAAGGTTTATTAAATGAATGTTAATTTAATAATCACTGTAAAATCATTGCATGGGGTGAGGATGTTATATTAGTTGTCTGTGCATCTGAATGCTCTTAGCCGATCACCAACAACCTTAAAAATAGTTTAACGGGTCAGTTTGTTCAATAACCCGGAACTTGAAAGGATTTAGTGTAGGGGGCTCAGCACGCCGATCTTCTTGAAAGAGTGACGTCATCCCTCTCTGACGGTGTCGAACGGTACCGTGACGTAGTTTCTGGAGAGCAGCGCTGTGCTGTGCTTGGAGTCCCCGACCCACGGGGAGCGAATCCAGACAGGGGCAGGCAGAGCTGTTCTAGTCATGTTGTAACAGTGAAAAGAAGGGGGAATACCTATCTTTATGGTCCGAGCAACCTTTAGAGAAAGAAAACGAAAACTCTGGGAATGTAATACCTCTCCCTCTGAAACAGAGATACTGAACAACTTGGAAAGGGAAAAATTACACCAGGTTACCGCCGAGACATTTACAGCCGTTAACAGCAATGTGTGGTGGGCAAATTCAGCTCTCACCATTTCTTTTTATAGTACTCAAAATCAGTGCTTCGCTGAATAAAGTATCCCTTAAGCCTGAAATCTTCAGTGTTTCTACCAATCCCTCTCAAGTTATTTCTTTAAACACCGGATTTTATCGAGATGCCTCTAGATGATGTTGCAAAACCATCATTCCACTGCATTCCTCAGCGTTAGAATGGGACTTCACGTCGTCTCGAAGCAAGCCTATTTTCCTGAGTGTTTGCCCAGTTTTGTAGCATTAAATGCATTATTTTCTGTTTGGAGGTTTACCAGAAACGGATAAGAGCTGCAGAATTCGTCCAAATAACGTGGCATTTCAAATATCCTGTTTAGTATGACCAGCTCAAAGCTGATGAGATCGCTGTCTCAAGTACTGTACATGAACTGAATGTACAGCCCCACATGTAGAACCACCAGAAGCTGTGAACCGTGGACGTGCAATTATGACACAATGCAAGACTGGATTGTTAGTCTTACAATTTTTAGTAACTAAAGAAATCCTCCAATCATTGCAAAATACATGATAAGTTTACAGATTTGTTGATTGCGACTTTCTCAGTTTTGTTTCGGACATTCTTTTTACTTAATGTGTTTACAGACCTTTTCTGAGGACTGTCCATGAACTTTCAGGAACCGTGATGTATGATGCCGGGTTACTGCGCACAAGGCATGGGGACGGTTTGAAAAATAAGCTGAAACATGTTACTAAAACGATCCGCAAATTCAGTTGCACTGAGGGCAGACTTCCACATCATTATTTAATAGAGACGCTTTTTACCTCCTTTTAACTGAAGGGAAAATTTTGCAATCTTTTATCATCTAAAATGTTAAGACAATCAAGGCAACAGACAAAAGCCTTAAAATGTTTGCACAGGATAGAAGGGGGGAAAAGCAGACACTGACCAATTTTCACAAACCCCTTTTACTTAAAGAGTGATAGATACGACTTAATATTGATATGTTTTCAAGTCAATGAGAGCTACGGAGCGGCAAAGCAGTAGCATCGGAAAAAAAACAACTTCTGCAGGTCTAAACCGTGTTAGCAATGTCGCTCAGGAATGAAAGCCGTGGAGTGACGCTGTTCGTGTCGGTGTTGTCTTTTAGCCCTCTGTGCCCTCGCACCTGGCGAAGGACGAACAGATGCACGGGAATCGGGCAGCGGGAGAGGAGTACAGACCGCTCGAGAAGGCGGAAGAGTTGAGGAGCGAGGCCGCCGCACTGGAATCAACGGTGAGCCCCAGACTGCTGGTTCAAGCGAGTGGGAGGGGGGTCAGTAAACTGAACTGCTTGATTCATGTTCTTTGGCTGGGTTCCTCAGCCATTACCTTTTAATTCTCCCCCCTCCCCTCTCCCCTCTCCCAAACTCCTTCCCTTCGTGAACAAGGTTTGGCATCTTAACAAAAGCTGCAAAGGTCATTTGCTTGCAACGGCGTAAGAAGGACGACCCCCCCCCACAGAGGAAAGCAGAAGGAAAGCGAAAGCAAAAAAATAAATAAAGCTACAGTCCATCTACATCCATCTGTGTATGTGCTCAGTTGATTACTGTTATCAGAATAAAAAAAATCGAACGCGTTGTTTGCTGATGAAAATAGTGGGAAGAAAAAAACTGTTCTGTTCCATCAGCAGCTCCTTACACCTAATTTTACAGCTGAGTGGCCCAGAGCCACGTAGAGAAAAATCTCCCCTCAAGGTTATAAAATGAGTTGCTGGTCTTCGATTTGAAACAGCGATTTCTTGGTCCCGAGTCATGCTTGAAATATATAAAGATAATATTTTTTCCCCCACTTACAGTATGTTTGAACAATAAAAAAAAACCCAAAACAAAGATCTTTTCCTACTTGGGGAGGAGGGGAATGCTTCTGGACTTCGAAAACTTGTAACGCTTTTGGCTAAAATCACTTTGTCAATCCCTAACAGTTAAGGTGAATACAGTGTAAGTGTATGTTTATGAGGTCATCTGGTCCATGCGTTCAAAGATATCGCTTTAATACAATAAGCCTGTGCATTTCTTCATCAGAAGACGTTGTTTTAGGTGATACTGATGTGCTAGATGAATTTTTCATGTCCATGGAAGTTTTGGTTTTGAAACGTGTTACAAAACCAATATCTGCTTTCCTTGCAAGTTTTGTGGCTGTAAAACAAACCTTTTCCTTTATCTATAGCCCATCAGTAAGTTTTCGATAAATAATGTACACAGGAATGTTGGCTTTGTTTTTCGCGGGAGCAGGACAGATAGAGGCAGTCTAGGATGAGCTGTACTGTAAGAGCACTTGTAAAGGAGATTAAGGATGAAGACAGTGGTTGAAGGTGACGCTGTGGTGTAATAGTTAATGTTCCTCCCTGTGCTTGTGGAACTCCCATCGCCTCCCACAGTCCAAAGGCATGCTGGTAGCTTAATTGGCTTCTGGGAAAATTGGCACTGGTGTGAGTGTGTGCGTGTGTGTGATGGACTGGCATCCCTTCCAGGTTGGACCCCACCTGGTGCCTGCTGCTTGCTGGAATAGGCTCCAGCTCCCCTGTGACCCTGAATTGGAAGAAGAGATTAGATAATGGTTGGATAAGGGCTGGATGGAAGATGAGACATGAGATCAGGAAAGTTTAGATGCTACAGCCATCAGCTATATCACCCTGTGGATCACAACTGGCAGCCTGCTGGAGCTCAGCAGTGTGAGCCTGGTCAGTACCTGGATGGAAGATCTCCTGGGAAAAGCTAAGGTTGCTGCTGGAAGTGGTGTTAGTGGGACCAGCAGGGGGTGCTCACCCTGTGGTCTGTGTGATGGCAACACTATACTGTAAAATAGGCACCGTCCTTTGGATGAGACATAAAACTGTGGTCCTTAAAAATCCCAGCGTATTACCTTTGCATCCTGGCCGAATTTCCCATTGGCTTTTACCAGTCATGGCCTCGTAATAACCCCCATCTCTGAACTGGCTTCCTCACTCTGCTCTGTTCCCCACTGAGAGCTGGTGTGTGGGGAGTGTACTGGTTCACTCTGCTCTCCTCCCCACTGAGAGCTGGTGTGTGGGGAGTGTACTGGCGCACTCTGGCTGCCTTCGCATCAGCCAGGTGGGGCTGCACGTTTACCTGTAAAGCCCTTTGAGTGGAGTGTCCAGAAAAGCGCTATATAAGTGTAAGGAATTATTATTATTATTATTATTAATAATTTAATAATAAGGGCAGTAAACGCATAAGCTCCCCCAAAACAGCAAGGCCCAACATCTGAACACCTGGCCCTCTTCAACTGCCTGTCAAGACTCGTGACAGCTCAACCTAACACAGGCCTGCGTTGTTTGTTTTTGTTGCTGGATTGCTGTCTTGCCTGTGCCTCCTCCCAGTGACAAAGCCCTGTTAGGGGTTGTGGTCCGGGGGAGATGTCCAGCTTACAGGGAGCCTCATATCTACTGGATGTAGATCTGCCAAGGATACAAACAAGAGGAGGCCATTTCGTTCATCAAGAGATGTTTGGTAGTTGGTAGCTGATTGATTGCAGTGCTTCTTGGAGTGCTTCAGCCGTTTCTTGGGGACCAGCTTCAACCACATGGTTGGGTAGCTTTCCATAGCCCCACAACCAATGTATTGAATTTAATTTAGTTGCAAAAAGAGAAAGTACTGTGGAAAAGTTTCCGTGCTATTCACCATTTGTGGTAAAACCTAAATTATGCTTAACCAAATGTACATGTTTTTATGAACGACATTTTTGTCAAGATTTATTACAACAAAGAAATAAATTGTATGGATGAAAACTCAGAATGACAATTTTTTTTTTACAGAATGGGTTATTCTGAAATAATGGCCTTGGCCTCAGTACAGAACTGTTCTTAAAACTTCACTCTGAGTTCACTGGTTTTTTTTTAAGTGTTGCCAGGAAAATATGTACTCTCAGCTGTTGCTATGGCATCACCTCATAGACCCTCTGACATCATAAAGAAGAGAATTCCAGGAAATCCATGCAAAATCCTTCCAAAGCTTAAGAGGTTCTCAATAATTAGCATTGCTTTCTATTCACTGCATTGATGTTTGCCATTAGTTCCAACAGGGCCATCTCTCGCTGTGTATGTGTGAGTACACTATTAGGCTGTTTAGTAAGAGATTAAAATCTTCAGCTCATTGTTGTGGTCCACAAAAGCTTTGAAAGCCTGCACTACAATTGTGTTGCATTTCTTAGCAGAAATGCAGAACAAATTACTCTTTCTAAATAACGAAAAAAGCAAGCAATTGCAAAAAAATCGCGTCAACGAAACCTTTGTTTGTTTGGACATTTAAGCTGTCAGTATTTACAGTGGAAATCATAAAAGTGCACAAGCCTTTCTAAGCCATTCATTTCATTGATGACTCAGCTGCTTTTGAGCAAGAAGCGCACAAAAAATATTTTTCTAATTTGAATGTTCTGAAGTGATGAATCTGGCTCTAGTGTGAAAGGCCAAGTAAAGATCATTTGTAAAAACTGGAAGTGAAAGTCAGGTTGTCCTTGATGCCCAGTATGACAAAAGCAAGACAAGCTGGCTCTGCTCATGCCCTTCTTTTCCAAGTACTCACCGGGAAATGAGATCTTTTCCAAGATCATTTCCAGGAATCAAGTTATAGATGTAATATAAGAAATTAGAAGCAATACATAAGTGGGTGATGTCCAGTTATCACAAAAGGAACTGTTAATTTGCATTGTGTTATATTTTATATAACCAATAGCCAATTATAGCTTTCACATACAAATGACGTGAAAAGGTTGTTGCTCCATAGAATGTGTAGAGGTCAAAGTGACCTCCTCCAGCAGCAAATAGGATTAATGTGATAGAATTGGGCATAACAAGATTAGCAAGTGCCCTGCTCCCTTCTGAAGGTGAATGGTAACAAAGGTGTTTAGTCTGTTTTGCACAGGCCCAGTGGATAGTGCCATCTTAAAGCAGCTCTGTGACTCTTGATCCATGCTTTCAGTAACAGTCTTATGCATCCATCTGTCTGACCTAGAAATATACTACAGGCCATGCGCAACCGGACCTACTATATCTGTTTTTATCTATGTATTTCAAAGACTTCATGGACACGAACTGCAAAACTGCAAATTAAATAATAAAAGGAATGATCAATCTTTAATTTTTAAACTCTAATCACTTAATGCAACACTCTGGCTCATTAATATGACACATTCATATAACACTGCATTTGTGATGCACTCTCTTGTGTATATTCCACAGCTAATCAAAAGTATTTCCAGAGTATTTATAGAAAATGTATTGTTCCTGAAATATCATAATTTAACACCAAGGCTTGACAGTTTTCAATGGACTCATAGTATCTCAGGATAGGTTTTTCACTGTTTTCAGTTACCTTACTTAAGATTAAAGATTTTATTTAACATCCATTCATTTTCTAAATGCTTCTTCCAAGTCAGGGTTGTGGGAGAGCCAGAGCCTATCACAGCACATAGTGGGCACAAGGCAGAATTCACCCTGGACTGGCCATCAGTCCATTGCAGGGCACATACGCACACACACACACACACACTCAAATCAGGGCCAATTTTCACAGAAGCCAATTAACCTACCAGTACTGGACTGTGAGAGCCCCCAGTGGAAACCCACACAAACACTGAGAGAGCATACAAACTCCAAACAGACAGCACCCCAGCTCTAGACTTGAACCCAGGACCCCAGTGCTACAAGGCAACAATGCTAACCACTGCACAACTGTACGGCCCTAGATTTTGGGTAAGAGAAGCCTGAAATTATTTAATTAATTAACCTACACTTAATTATTCCTGCAAAAAGGTGTTAGTTAAGAATATCAGCAAAACGTATTGTCACGTACGAAGAAATCAGAAGTTAAAGTGATCTGATCCCGATGAAAGAAAAAAGAGGTGAAGATGTACGGTATTTAACTTTTTTGGTGAAATGCTGGATTGCCTTTTTGTGTTTCTGTTCTTTCTTGAGCTTGCGGTTTGAATCCAAGGGGGGCTCGTTATATACGAGGACTGACACACAGGCCTAGGAAGATGATAAAATTGTTATTGATGAGACGGGTCAGCCCATTTACTAAGGGGTTAGTTGATGTAAAGCAGTTAGCTGCCACCCATGCTGAAAGGTTAGCGCCAGTGGGATCCGAATTCTGTACTGTTATTGTTAAGGTTAATGTGGAGTCTTGTGTTTCAGTGATCGCACACAACACAGTAAGAAATTAATTTGGGAAATGTCACAGCTGCCTATTTACTTCTTCCACGTGGACAGAATGCTCTTTCCCAGCTGTGTGTGGGTGTGTAATGGTAAATAGGAGTATGAATACTAAGTTCAATTCTTGTGTAGCAACATTAGCTGCTTTCTTAACTTCAGTCCCATGACATCCACATGAAACATTGACCACAATTCCTGTACAAAAGGGAGGTAGGGGCCATGATCTTTTCATATTCCTGCAAATATCTCACTGGAAGGGATCTGCAAAACTCATTTCGCAGGAAAAGTAAAGACATCCTGATAGACACCTGCTATTTACCAGAATCCATAAGGATTTCTACCCTCAGATTGTAGGAGTCTGATTTTATACACATGTGTTATATTCTAGCTGACGTGGCTCTTGCCTGACTTCTGATCCCTTCTCTGCCCCAGAAAGGCCAGTTGCTCTTGTTGTTTCCATTACAGAGGAAGGTCAGGTCAGAAGTTGGACATTTCATTTACAGTTTTGCAAGGGAAATAGATTACTACATGCTTTAATGCAGACCAGTGTGAAATTAGTAACAATCAGATTTCTTCTAGACTGAATCTGCTATTTCTTTTAAAGAAAAGAAATTTGAGTAGGCATTTTCCTGAAGTTTTCCGGCAGTGCGGGAAACCTTGCAGTACTTTTTGGAACAAAAGGCTTTGGTATGATGCTGCATAGCAGTCACGTGTTTTAGCACCAGTGTCCACATATATGGAGGAGAGTTTGGATTGGTGTAAGTATGAAATTGTAATTAAGCTTCTTAAAATTCAAGCTGTGTTGCAAATATTTTTTTCCAGTATATCATCCCAGGCTAAACCACGGTTTGGGGTTTTCTGAAACATGTCAGGACCAATAAACTAAAACCCATCTGTTTTTCCTTTAAAGCTTATTTCCTTGAAATACTTAGAGATGGCTGGCAATAGTATGTTGAAAAACAGTGTAGAACAGTTATTTATACATTTTATTTTTTTCTAAGAACAATCATGTGACAAACACAACTTGCTGATGTTAATGCTGTACATTGTTATTTAACTGTAAATAACACTCAAATATACATCCATACCAAACCCGACACTGACGTGGCTGTCTCTATTCTATCTAATTGCATCTCTGACATAAAAAATTTGGATGACTCAAAACTTCCTTCATCTTAACTGTGACAAGACTGAAGTCATGCTTATTGGTACCCCCCATCAACTTCGTAAAGCCAGTCCTGTAACCCTGTCTGTAGATGGCTCTGTACTAGAGCTTCAATCAAAATTGAAAAACCTTGGGGTTATATTCGATTCTGGCTTAACATTCGACCCACATGTACAGCATACTGCCAAAACATCTTTTTTTCACCTTAGAAATATCGCAAGACTACGCCCTATGCTATCATTAACTGTGGCTGAAAAGCTGATCAACATATTTGTATTCTCCCGAATTGACTCCTGCAATGCTCTGCTCCCTGGTGTATCTAAATCTACTCTGAACAAGCTGCAGTATGTCCAAAATTCAGCAGCCAGAATCCTGACCAGGTCTGGTACAAGTGTTCACATTACTCCTATCCTGGAGTCCTTGCACTGGCTTCCGGTCAAATTCCGCGTAGACTTTAAAATCCTCATGCTCACCTACAAGGTTTTACATGGCTTGGCACCTCAATACCTGTCTGAACTTTTATTGCCCTACTCCCCACCTCGCAACCTCCGCTCTTCAAATTCTGCCCTCCTTACTGTCCCCCAAGCCCGTCTACATTGTATGGGCGACAGGGCCTTCTCCTGCTATGCCCCCAAGCTCTGGAACTCTTTGCCCAAGGATATTAGAGAGTCACCTTCTCTAAACTCCTTCAAATCCAGACTCAAAACCTTCTTCTTCAGAAAAGCCTTTACTTAACTGGTTCCATTCTTCACCCCTCTGCTCTTCTTAATACCATCTTCCACGGTCTCCTCTATTTTTATTGTTGTATTGTTGTAATTATAATTGTGTCCTCTTGTGAAATTTTCTTATTTATTGTTGTAGTCTTCTTATTTATTGTTATTGTCATCCTGTAAAGCGCTTTGAGAAGCCACCTTTAAAGGCGCTATATAAAATAAAGTTTATTATTATTATTATTATTATTATTATTATAACTGCTAAGTTATACTGTTCTGACATTAAGCCAGGAGTTTCCAGTCATGGTCTTGGGGGGCTGTTGAAAGTTGTCTAGGTCTCTTTAACGCGCCAGCACCTGAAGAGCAGGAAAACTGTTTAAAGTAGGAAAAATATTGAGTCGATTTAGGTTATTATGTGCTCTTGGGACTGAAACCTGTACTCACATGCACTCAAGCATGAGGACCCTGCATTTACTACAAGTAGTAGTAAAGCCTGGTTCATCCTCACAAGTAAGTAAGAACAGTGGAGTCAATGCAAACTGTCATTAGAATACTAGACATGAGAAGTTTGAAACATTATGAGAAAGGTTACTAAGGACAGGGCCAGTTTACAGTATAGTGTCCCCATCACTATACTGGGGTACTAGGACTCACACTCACCACAGGGTGAGCACCCCCTGCTGGCCCCACTAACACTTCATCCAGCAGCAACCTTAGTTTTTCCCAGGAGGTCTCACATCCAGGTACTGACCAGGCTCACACCTGCTTAGCTTTAGTGGGCTGCCAGTTGCAGATAGATATGGCTGCTGGCCATATAAAGACGTCCCTCCTGTTTTTGGTTTTAAATGTACTTCCATGTGGTTTCCACCTGTGTCCCCTGGTTTATGTTTCAATACTCATTCAGAAGTCCACAGCATTGACTTTATTAATGCCTTTAAGGATTTTGAACATTTGTAACAAGTCCCCTTGTAATCTTCTCTGTTCAAGATTCCACTCTGTTCAGTTCCACCTCTATGTGAGCAAACATTCCTTTAAGCCCCAAACGTATTCTTATGATTAAATCCGCATCAACATTATCTTTTCTTTAATGTGGTGATCAAAAGCTCAGTATTCTAAGTGAAGCCTTACTGGTGTGTTATACAATAATTCAACATAATATCCCATGACTTAAATTATTTAATTTAATGCTTTTTAAACTATATATCATAGCATTTTGTAGATTAATAGCCTGTCAAGTTGCATCTAATACAGAAATGCTCAATCACAAATTAGACTGAATGTTAGTTGAGCACATTTCTTTTTTAATTTACTCTCCAAAGGGAACTTAATTTGTAGGTAATATATTTATTAAACCAATAGAATAATCCAGTGCTTATGAGTGACTGCATTGAGTTGGTTTCACTTAAATTTTAGATATGTGACTATTTTTCCTTGGCTTGGCCAACAATTGAGAAAAGATTCTTAGGAAACTTAATAAGATGCATTAATTAAAGCTGAGCACAAACAGTAATTTCTCTAAACAGAATCATATTTTTGTCCTGTTTAGTCAACGTCTAATGATATAGCACAAGAGAGGCATGTTTCTGTCCTGTTCAGCTTAGCTGTTTTTGGTATGACTCATCACAGAGTGTTGTAACCTCTGAGCATGAAGGGCTTTTAAAGTACAAATAAACATGTGAGGTGTGTAACAGTCTCAGTAGAGCAGTAAAGTTTGTGAATGTGCAACCAAAATGTTCTCCCCAGGCTTCATCTGAAAATGTTTTTGACCTTTTCCCGTTTGTGGCGCAGCTGGCCAGCGAGGAGGCCAGCAACAGAGAACTCATTGAGAGCCTGGGGCAACAGCGACTGAGGGACCAGTGGAGAATCCGAGCTCTGGAGGCCAGACTGCAGGTCGGTGTCTTTCATTGCCCTGGTAATTACACCACAGAGCTGCCCGGTTTCGACAGAGCTGGAGCCAACTGCACACGGAGCTTTCCATCTCTATTTCAGAAATGTGGAGAAAAGAAGAATCATAATGTGTGCAATTGTCCTCCTCCAAATTAGTTCATGGGACACAGACAAAGGAAGCATTGAGAGGCTTTGGGTGAATGAGAATTTCCCCATGGTATTTTCACACAGTCTCTGCCATGCCTGAGCACTAGTGTCCTTTCGTGCCAGGGAGTTCAGAAAATTACATGCCTGCAGGGTTGGGAAGCCAAAGTCTATGTCTAACCCTCTATTTTTCTGCAAGCTACAAACATTTGAAATAAAATGGGCTCATTATGCAGACCGATGCTTTAAAGCCATACTAATACAGATCCTATGGTATTTTTTCACATGGTTTGTTCAGTGTGAGCCCACTCTGCTTCACTAACTAGGCTGTGTGACCTGATTTGATAAAAAAAAGGCTGAATGCCTCTCAGAATCACCGTCTTCCCCAAATTGAGATGCTGTTGCCCATTTTTACAGTTTTCATTGCTCAGTTCTCTAATCACACAGTGCAGAGCAGCACTGTCATGTCAGCCGGGCCTGTGGGATCCGAGAGACTGCTGCATGCTAGAACAGGCCCGTAACAGAAGCATTCCAACAGCGACAGACTCTTCGCACGGAATTACAGCAAACCCTGGGGCTAAATCAAACCCCTGTTCACATCAAACTCTGACACGCTGAGAGATTTCATGTGCTGTTTGTACCTTGTGTCACATGGATGAGGCACATACCCTGCACAAGCAAGGCAGACAGGTGATTTTCTAGATTTCATAGTAGGGCAAAATCAAAGAGAATCATCCCAGTTTAGCCCAAATAAGATTGACAACGAAATGTTGGTAACCTGAGTAGTTTTTTTTTTTATAATTTACTATAGTTTATTGTTTTTTATAGTTGTATAGAGTAGATGTAATTATGTACACATTATCTAAGTATTAGTTGAAATTATTAAAATATAAATAGTTCGGGCATGGCTTTATTTAAAAAAATGTTATTATTGCATTTACTGTATTGTCCCAAATTCCCAATACTAATACATCTGGCAAATAGGACTGTGCTGTGGATCGACTGAATGCCTATCATTCCACAGCAGAGAAGGTGGGGGCCCTGACTGTTCCGTCTCCTTTGAATATTTTTCCATGACTGAGAAACAAGAGAGGGGATCAAGCTATCAGAGATGGGAATGTAAGCTATCCCCATGCACTGAATGGCAGGTCATACCGTGATAGTCGGTATTCTGCGTTTATCAGCAGTGTAGCGCGTGGTGCTAAGAATTCGGTCAATGGGGGAGGGCCTCTCGGACGGAACAGTGGCCTTGGTGAGGTTTTAACAGCATGCCGAGGCCTACTTGTGACTGCGAGACGAGTGATGAAAAGGCTCAAGATTGGCGTGAAAGGGAAGAGCTGTGCCCAGGAACGCTCTTGGCCGTTATCATCAAAGCACCCGAGATTCTCCAAGGAAACAGTGTTTTTGTGCCGTAACCTCGATAGAGTGAAACCTGCCTAACCGGGAGCTTTCTAATGCGGTGTTTAATCGTATTAGTACACAATCGGTGGGCTCTCCTCTCACAGGAATTGCCATCTTTTCAGACGGTGAAGTAATTCATCATATGCCGTGTTATATGAAGTCTTTAAACTGCTTGTCACACCGTGATCTTCCATAAATTCCGATTACGCAGGTTCTGTTATTCTAAGTGAACTTCACGGCTGTGTCAGGGCATCCTTTCTGCACCAGTTTGTATTGAAAAGCGGGGGCAGTGCGCGCTCTTATTCCCACTGGAACTGTCCCTGCAGTGTCCGGACATTGCAGGACATGAGGCAGCTGCTTGAACTGCTCCTGCCTCAGCAGCATCACGTTAGCTACAGCCAGGCAGGGATGAAAGCCCAACAGGACTGATACAGGATGACCAAGGGCATAAGCACAGTTATCGGCCAACTCAATACTGAATGCAGCTTTCAGGACTGAGCTGATTGCCATTTCATTAAATCATCTGCCAGGAACCCTGCCTGTCTTGTGCTGAGAAAAGTCACATTTTGATTAAGTCACTACCTCAAGCACGCGCCGTCTCTTGTAATTGCGAAGAGAATTGAGTGCTGTAATTAAGTGAATAATAAACAGGATCGAGAACATATGTATGGAGCAAACGCTACCCTTGGAGATTTCCACTCTTCTGAGCTGCTGTCCTCTTTAATCCTGGGGAGAGGTGACTCACAACTTGGGGAGAGATTAAAGACATTTCATTTTTGAAATCAGAGTCCGTGATTCACGACAGGGCCTCCAGGCACAGAGGTGAGCTCAGAGCAGGAGCTGGGGAAAGGCAGGATGAATGCTGAAGGAATGAAAACCTTATGAATTGAAAAAAGGGGCTTACGGGGGAGGGTGGGGGCACTAAGAAATACTTTCTTGCAATAATCCAATGCAATTTGACGTGATAAACAACATAACGTGTTGTCTTAGACTCTTGTCAAGTATATGAGCGTGAAGAAATCAAATTGGGGGCCACACTTCAGAAATCATCCCTGACGTTGTCTATAGCTTCAAGATGGCACTCAGGGCTGCAAGAGCACAGTGTATGATAAAACCAAAGGAATGATTGACAATGGAGAGAATACCTTAACACTGCTCCATAAGTATAATATACAGTATCTGAGATACTCCGGCGTCTAAAAGTGAAAGAACCAATGGCAAAACGATTGTGTCGAAGAGAACAGATAGACACAGAAAAAAGCCAGTGAAAGAGCCCACTGCCCGATTAGGGAGCAGGTGAAGACCCAGCAGTACACCACACCCATGGCAATTAGGAAGTTGACCGCGAGGTGGACATGTTATGACTGGTGGGACAGACTTGCACACTGAGGGATTTCATAACCGGATGCTAAGAAAAACCCCTGTTGTGTCTCCGAAAAGGCGATCAGACATAGGCTGCGATGTAACCCAGCATCATAAATAATCAGGCAGACAGGGTTGCTCAGGAGGAATAGAAAAGTGGACATTGGCTGATGTGATGTTTTTGGAGGTGTGCGGGCCTACAGGTGAGCCTGCTGAGGTGCGCGTGACCTTTGCAGGTGATGTTACTAATCAGCAAAATACTGGGGCTGAAAATGATTCCTTCAGTAAAGTAAGACAGAGAGAGTGGTATAAAGGAACAAAACTTTCATTTTGTGGGCAGCCTTGCACATTTTCAATATTTTCTTGCAATTGTAAATAAGCTTATAACAATTTAAGCAGACCCAACGAATGACCTACCACATACTGTATTATTTACTTCATGCTATAAATATTGCATATTATGTGCAAGAATGATAGGGTCATACATATGGTAAAATCAACTCATTTTGCAATTTCAAGAATGCTTGCAGCTTCTGTCACCTTAATAGTGCAGTTTAAAGCAGGTTACTGACATAGGCAATTACTTATTGTTCCTTGTGATCTGTCTCCGTTGCCTTATAAATGCTGGCCTGTATTTATATGGTGAGGTGCCACTTTCTATCATTGAGTGTTCAAATTGTTAAAGAAAAGAAAAGAAAATTGTTCTAAAGAAAAGCTACACTATGAGCCCTGTGAAATACGGGAGTTATACATATTCTTTTTCGTACGTTAATAAGAATGCAAATTAATTAGGTCATACTGAGCAGTAATGGGGTTGCTACAGTTTTTTACTGAATTGATTACTTCACACATTGAAGTTTTCTTCAAAGCATTGGTGTACTGTGATAGATGTCTGCAGTTAGATTATATCTGCTTTGCAAAGTTTTCCACATTCCGTTCATGGTCTGATTCTTTGGTTTAATAGGGATGACAAAAAGTGGAGATACATGAAAAAAGGCTGTGGAGAATTGAAGTTTGGTACACTTTAAAATCAGTCTTTATGGTTGTTTTATGGTTTTCATGTTGAACTCTTCAAAAGGAATTTTTGTTGAGTAAGAATTATGGATTAATCTGGTAAGAGAACAAACATTCTAGTCTCTGGGACAAAAAGTGTGCAAGGAAAACCAAGTTATTCCTTGGATTATGGATATAGCTGGATGTATGAATGGAACGCAAGGTAACATTCCAGAATGGTCATGCAGGGATGTAACACAATCTTTTGGTTGTTCTGTCCTGTCAGTGGCTCATCATTAACCTGAACACCATTTATCACCATCTGTGGGTCTACTGTAGCATTATTTCACTGGAGAAGTAATATGCTATAGCAGTAGTAATCATATTTTAAAGTAATATACAGTAACAATGCTCTAGTAGTGAGCAATTTACAGAATACTTGACTTCTGAGTTGTAGGTAATGAGTGACACTTAATGGGATAAATATTTTACTGTAAACTCAAGTACATTTCCCAGATATTTTCTTATTCTATTGTACATCACATTACTGGGATGACACAAATAAATTCACTTTTTGCAAAATATTTGTGTATAATTGTGTGACAATAAAGCAGGACTGTCTCCAGGGCAGAATGTATGGTTTGTTAAGGCTGTGCTCCCGTGAACCTGTGCTCAAGTGATAACCTCAGATAAAGCACAACTTTTTAATAAACTTTTAACTTTGTAAGTTGTTTAAAAAAAATATTCTTTTACATTGACAGTCTGAAGAGAAGGGTACACCAGCAGCGTTCCTCCCTGGACCGGAATCCACATCCTTCTAGTTGCAAGAGTGCCAGCCAATCTTACACTAGTCTGCTGGAGGAAAATAGTTTTAAAGTCACTGTGGAATGTAACAATGTCAAGTAATACATTCATCTTAAAAACAATTTTCCCCAACTTTAGAATTTATTTTAAAAAGTAATCCCGTACACAAGTAACTTGCAACTGCGAGTGATTACTTTTTAAAAATAATCTTCCTCATCTTCCATATCTTCCTCAAACTTACAGTATCTTCCTCAACACTTATGTCTTGATAATGGTGGTTCTTTGAATCAATTTTTCTC